AGGAGTTTCCTAACGACTTCGAGTAGAAGTGTACATATACCCATCCTCCGTCCTCTTCTCCTTCCCTTACTACCGCTTCACATACCACACAGTTGAGATCGTCCTTCTTATTCCTGCAGAAACATCCATCACAACGCCAACCGTGTGGGTCACTAGCCGCTGCATTAGCTGCTTTGAACTCTGATGATGGAGGTGAGGATGACATAACAGCAAGGATAGTGTAACAAGGATAGAGGACCAATCCTGAGACCAGTCAACAGTTCACAGAGGGCGGAGCTGACAGAGTCGATATCCTCCGGGCTAACCTCCTACCATACAAGGGTGAGAGCATAAAGCTATGCACAGGAAGATTACTCCCATAAAAACAAAAAGACCGGGAATTGAACCCACAACCACACGCATGAAGAACCCAAATCCTAACCATTCACCCAAACCTCCACAATATTATACAACGCAAAACCATCGACACTTCATTGAGAGAAGTTAACTCGTCATAATAACTATTTCCAGTACTATTATTCAACTGAAATCAGGGAAGACACAATACCCTCTGGGGAAATGCCGATGCTTCTGCTGCTGCAGCGGCGGCGGATGCTACTACTACTACAACACCCCACAGGAGGTTACAATCATTTGCATATGCAAAGACAACGGAGAATTGAAAATCGTTTCTAGTTGATCGCTCTTAGTCGCCAACTTCGTTACTCTATCGGCAATCACCATAAAGTGCATCATCGTAGTCTACGATTCATCTATTCAACAGCAGCGATCGGGACCGTCCCTTCACCGGCAGACTCCTGAGACTCTTTCTCTCCGGGGCTATCACCTGATGGAAAAAAACCTTCGCCGGGCACTGAACCGACGACCTTCCGATAGACAGCCCTGAACACTGCCCACTCCACCAAACACTCCCTACCCCCTCTAATCTACCAATACCCACCCTCATCATAATCCTCTCTCATGAGCACCCCCTCTATTTGACGATCAGAAGAGCCACGCGACGGTGGTGGTGGTGGTGGCGGAGATGCCCTCATCCCCAACGGACCCAACGCCGAATCAGCTCGAGGCTTCTTGAATTCTACTTTCAAACGCTTCTTGCCCAACTCGAATCCATTCAGAGCCTCCACAGCCCGTCGAGCCTGATGATCTCAACAATACTGGGAAGGTGACTACTACAGATAACGCAGCCGATGTGAGTACCTCACATAGTGCTCAGTATTCACTAAGTGTCCCATATACTCATGCGGTCGTGGTGTAAGAGTATGTATAATGGAGTTTCACCACCCTAGTGATATGAATAACACTAGTGAAAAATATATTTCATGACTACTGCATATCACCGCGAATCACGTAAAACGTACAAAAACTAGAATGGATAGAACATAATATATACAATCAACATAATCGAGTATCGACTTAAAATTGGAGCCGGCGAAACCAGAGGAGAGTATTCATATCAAGAATAAACACATATAACAACCACTCGAACAATACCCCATCACTACTCCCACTAGGGCGCGCGCGATTCACATTTAGACCATCACCATCACCACCACTACTCACGTTTTCCCAGTCCACAAAATTGACAAATCCATACCCTTTCCCTGCAACAACTTTAACAGAGTCGATCTGACCATACTGCTCGAACAGCATTCTACAATAACAAACGAATCCACCACCTTCTCCTCCGTCACGCGCCGTTAAATTACCGCAAAGTCGCATCGTCGCAGTCCGGTGGCAGATGGAAGATAAACAAAGCCGCTTGTGATGAGGTCGAGGGCGTTGGCGGCGACAACAACGCTGATCGTCGATAACATCATCACCATTGATGGTGTTACTCTCACCACCCGAGTCTGTCCACTCCCCCGATGCCAATCCTCTGCCGCTATAACTCGGTAGTTCGCCACCACCCATAATACCTACAACCAATACAGTTTCACCGATATTACGTGAAGTGGCGTAAGACCTGATTTTCGCGATATGAAAAACCCGTCGTAAAATATATTTTTCATATCACTAGGGTGAAACTCGATTACTCATCAATTTTTAAAACTCGAGTCACTGAACTTACCCCGTTGGTCCATAGCAGCCGCTGCCTGCATCATAAGGCTCGAATCAGGAACTGAAGAAAACGCAGTGAGAAATCGCGCGCAAGATTGCAAGATTTCCCCCACCTGTAGTGGACAATAACTGAGGAGGAGAAGGAGAAGAAGCAAACCCGAACGGCTGTCCCGTCTTATCGCCGTTTTTGCTCCCCTGACTGCCAATGACGTTGCGGAGATATCTAATACCATCAACCTCCTCCGTGTGGTCACCAAAAGGCACGAAAAGAATCTTCTATGAACTTACTCGTTCCACGCACTCTCCCAATTTCCTGAGTGTTTATCTGCAGTGCTCTCAGACTGCGGCCGGTGCGCTCGCGAGAGGCCTGCGTATAAGCCACTTCCGCCCGACGGCAGTAATGACGACTCCCCACCACCTATGCTGCTACTGGCAAATCTCGAACGAGGGGCGTATCGGCTCGACTCGAACTGCTGCTTCGCTGTGTACCTGACGACCCGGGTTCTATCCCTGCATGCGGTGTTTTTTCACCCACGGTTGCAGAGGTGGTTTTACGTTGAACATACCAGTGGAGTAAGCTCGGGAACCTGAACATCATCATCAACCAACTCGATCAGTCAACTACATGATGATGACGCGCTGCAATATTTATATTCTCGATGAGAGAATATATGCACATGGTCAACTGCATGTGTGGATCACATTTGCGGGAATTCTGAGGAAAATTCTCATTGGTTTCTGTACACTTCTACCCGAATTCATCTGTAAACTTCTAAAATTAGCAAGCAAATCCCTAGACTCAGCTGAGTTTGAAAGCAAACATATATTCCATAGCATATGATAGTTATAGTGATAGTTATGATAAGCTCGTATTCTTACCCCTTGGACCAGCAACAGGCTGCAGCCCTGATGAGGTCGTCTGCTGTCCTACTAACAGCTGCTCTCTCATCACCTCTGAATCAACTCGATCGGCTCGGAACTCAGGCCTGAAGACAACATGTAAGGAAGATACGAGATAAATCACTACACGAGAAAATTCACTAAAACACTCCACGAATTATGGCGGAGCGAAGCAGCCTCCTTAAAATCAAATCCTCCCCTCAATGAAGCCGCCCGTAACAAACCCGAGTGCATTATTCCCCCTCCCTCCCCCGCCCACCTCCACGGCTTGAGCTGCAACGAAGAGGTTATTTTCGATACCGGGTCGGTGAGCTGACAATTGGAGAATGCCTTCATCGCGTTGTAGGCGCTCTCTTCCGTATCAAAGCGAACGACTGCGATTCCTCTGAAATTCTGTTGCTCGGTTTGGTCGTACAACAGCCGCATCGCCTCTATATGTGACTTGTATTCAGGACCGAATAAGTCTTCAATCTGAAGAATGATAATAATAATCATGACCGCACGCCACGAAATTATTTTACATCTTTTTCGGTGTAGGAAAGTGGTATGCCAGAAACGTATAAGTTACTGTGAATATTTGCCTTCCATGCCGGTCGGGCCACCGACACCTTCATACGTTTACCCTCCGGAAGGACAGTAGCTGATAACAGAGGAGGAATCTTAGCGGCAACCTCTTCCGAGTGCGGGCTCGGGGGCATGAAAAATATCTTTCTTATTACTATTGAGAGCATTAACTGCCGCTTCAGCAGCCTCATTAGTGTCAAAGTTTACAAAACCAAACCCCATTGATATACCGGTGGTCTTGTCGCGAACAATCTGAGGGGAAATACATTTGGAAGAAAACCGGAATACCAACGCCGTGGACAACGAAGAATGTCACAGCGTTCGAGTAGCCAAATATCGATTTCACGTATTCCCAGCCTCAAGTAAGCAACGAAGCAAGATGATAACTCCCCACACGATCAAGCACGCCGCGAAATCATCGTTTTCCCGATATAAAAATTCCGCTTTTTTGGGGGACAAGATGTATATTCACCATCACTAGATATAAATATTCGCTGACGTTCACGCGTGATGAAAGACTATCTAGAGAGTGCTGGGGCTCTAGTTGAGGGGGAATCACCTTCACTGACTGGATCGCACCATAGCGCTCAAACATTTCCAATAGGTCTGCTTCGGCAAATGTTGATGGTAGATAGTTCACAATCAGGTTTGATTTATCCATCTACAGAAGAATGACCATGACTCGACCTAATCTGTATCTTGTAGAGTCAAGCTCAAGATTCCCTACATGAATATGGGGATCTTATCAGATTAATCAAAAGTTAAATGATAAGTTATATATCCAGTTACCTGCAATAAAGATACGAAATAGGTTTCCTGCCTCCTTATTATTACTAGCACTTTGATAGATACTATAAATCCCCAACACAGCCAGATGATGGGTCAACACAGCAAGAGAGCAGTCAACAGAGAGTCAAACTCTTTTCCCTCAGACGAAACTCCCACGTCGCGCGCCACGAAATTACCCAACCCGTCACGCGCCACGAAATTATTCCCTGCGATATGCTCACAACTGGCTCTGCTGAATCGGTCCCAGGAGTGAATTCTACATCTTTGATTCAGTCTCGGAAGCGCCTTTGAATCTCGGGAGAGGTCTACCCCACAACACACCGACTCATTATTGCAACCAAAAAGTAACCGCATTATTATATGAGTGAAAAATTGCATTTCGAAATTGACAGAATTTTATTACTCGTGTATAATCGCTCAGTATGACTTTACTTGATGCCCTTCCAGTAGAAGAGAGGACAACAGAGGGGGGAGGTGCCAAGGCTCGTGGTGGACGGGACTGGTTTATGGGAGTGGTAGTACGGGGATTATCGGTCGAGGGGCGCTGACGTGGGAAGAGTGTTGGGGTAAAAACTGATGGAAAAAGCATTGAATTTCCTTCCCCATCGGTGATGATGATGATGTTCCTCCCAGGGAATCATGATTGCAAGCGTCGTGTTCATGGTAGTGGGCCTATACGCGGTGTGTGTATCGAGGGTAATGCCCTACACCGGTATCGGAAGCTTGGATTGGTTAAAGGATGATTGGTATGATGGATAAAGGTCGTGCTGTCTTGTGATGCGTCCTGGTTCGATTCCTCTTACCGTCATTTTTCCCATCACCCAAAGAGCTCACTATATATGCACTAAGTATAATTCAAAGTAACTTCTCTCGGTGCATCTCAGTGTTGAAAATTCCACAACTAGAATATTCGTTTCCTGTCCTCAACTGAGCTCGGGAGTTCCTTCACCACATTATAATGTTCAGTCGCGACTTTCGGCAGAATCTGTGTTCTAAGATGAATTTTTGTTATCAATTCCTGATGCAGG